TCTTTCAGGAGACTAGGTGGTGTGCTGGAAAACAATCTTTCCTCTTCTCTCCACAGAGTCCTGGTTTTGAATCTAGGCCAGGCAGTTAGCATTACAGCCTTGTCTCTTCCTCTGATGACTTTTTGTCTTAATTGAAATGAGGTTTGCTGATCATAATCTCATTCCGAGCGCTGAGCCCTAGGGTGGAAAATGGAAAAGGTCCTGCTGGCAGGACAGTGCTTCTCTGAGATTCTGACTGGGACATATTCTAAGGTAATGGATGACAGTTTCTGCACTGGTTAAACCAGACTTCTTTTCTGTCACTGGGTGAAAGTGAAACTGTTCCCTGCACTGGGAGCACTCACATTGACACAAAGCCCAAGTTTTTTAAAAGCAGTAAAAGTGTGATTTTTTTACTCGTCTGTGTTTTTGGCAAATCACTGTTGGGATATTATGTCATATAATATTAAAATTGTTATTTCAGTCTCTGAATAGTCTCCCAGTGTCGGTTCTAAATGAATTTAAATGTGTTTAGGTGCAATTCTACAGTAATAGATTGGTCACTCAATCCAAGACTGTTTGGCTGTTTTGGCTGCTGCGTTTTGCCCACAAAATATACAGTCGATTCACTTTACAGTATATTCTGTGAAATGCTTTGAGACGTCTCGAAGATGTGATAAGGCGCTATATCAACTGCAAGGATTATTATTATTATTGTTAAGTCCATGTACAATTTAACCTCCCCTTGCAACCCTGGCTGAAACTAATAAACTCAGCACAAACTAGGATTCGAACCAGTGAGCTACTAGTCTCTACTACCATTGGGGCTGCCTCGTAATATTAAAAGAAAGTCTTTAAGTGATTTTAAGAAAAAATAACAATTAAGCCAATACTTGTAACTAAACACTGCAGCTAATGTTCACTCTTTCCCTGAAACAGACTCATCTCATATTATTTGCCTAAATTATCAATAGTATAGAACTCAAAGTGCCTCTTCCTCTGCTAAAGCAAATCAGAAGATGCAAATACATTACTTCAGCAGCTAGCAGAAGAATATTCAATCTGTACAGCTCACATACACTGCACGTCATTAACTGTATCACCTACTGTTGGGGACCAGTTTGTGCTAATTCCTATCAGATTTCATTTATAAGGAACCCAAGTGGGGATACCTTCCAGAAACGTGAAGAACATCGCAGCAACTTTTGGGAACTCCGCTGTGAAAAAGATCGTGGTGGAATGGAGGTCCCATGGGTCTGAGTGAAGTACTTCTGGTTTTATTGTTAAGGGATCTCATTAGAAATTGCTGCATTTTAGAACCCATTCTGCAATGTTCTCTTGACACTGGAGATGGCTATTGTAAAGTTTTCAAAGATGTAAGGCATCATTTCCATTTCCTAATGCCGTAGAAATAAAATCTGATTACCCATTTAGGGAAGTCTAAATCTCCTGCACATCTCAAAAAATTGACACCCATATGTAATGATTCTCAGTCTTGCTTGAAAATTGAAGCCGCAACAGATCACCGTTGGAGAGGTCCTGGTTCTTAATCAGAGGTATTTGTGTTCTCCGAATTTTGAACAAGCTTGAGAGCATTCTTCCAGGACGCCAAGATTTCACCTTCATGACAGTGCAACTCTGGCACAAAGCAAAACGAGATCTGATAGAATATCTGTTGTAGTGTCCTTGTGGGCTTGATTATTATAAATGATTCAACGCAGACACAGGAATATTTACTTGTCCATGCACTGACTGAAACTATAGCAATTATTTGCAATACACTAAGTTGAATCGTTAATAGAGGTCTCCAGCGGAGGGAGTTGCAGTTTTGTCTGCTGCATTATCTTTTGGAGATAATTCAATGGTCACAGTTATTTGAAGCTATCTGTCGAATGTAAAATCAGAACTTAGAGCTGCCTTTCATTCTGTACACATCCACACCATTCATAGCCATCTAGTTGCTAAGATCGTTAAAAAAAAATTCTGCTGCTGCAATAAAGGAATAAATTATATTTTCAGATTTGTTCTGTCGTTAAAATTCACGTTGTTTTTCCATTCATAGCACAATCATTACACACAGTGGAATCTTGAAATATTCAACAGATCAGGAGGGACAAGCTATAAGAGATGACAGTTTACCGTAACTCAATGTGAAAGGAGGAAACTGATGGTGTGTAATAATTTACACACATAAACAGCTCCAGGGATTTATAAATGTGAATTTTATAAACTTCAGTGGCTTCCAACTTTTCTTTGTTGCTTCCACAAAATGGTATAATTATAACCTTGAGTAATAGTATCAGATGGTGTCAACAACAACAACTTGCACTTATATAGCGCCCTCCACGCAGGGTAGCTTCTCACAGCTCTTGTCAGCTTGTCTCAGTTGAAGACATTTCATCTCATGACAGAAGGTTGTAGGTTCAAGCCTCACATTAGAGTTCTTGGGCTCATTTGTTTTGGATTTCTATGCTTCGATTTATACATATTTCAACCCTTTGCAAGTCGAACGTCCCTCTATGCTTAAGACCTTTTGATTCTCTCTTGAATTTGCTTGATCCCTCATGTTTGTTTGCTTGTAGGTGCTAAAGATTTCTCCTATCAATTTTGAGTTGCACTCTTGTCAGTTCCCAGAACATCTAGTTCCCTCCTTCAGTTGACAAGGTTTCGGAATTTTTCAAACCAAAATGTTTTTCCTTGTTTTTCTGTGTCAATACACCCGACCATCTTGTTAACCACCAAATCTCTGGTGGCCTGTAGCAGAAGACAGTGTGAATTGACAGACTTCTGAAATTAGTTTTGAGTCAAAGCAAACGCGTTGCTGGTCTTCACATATCGTTTGATCAAGATCACAGAACTTACAGTTTGATTGGCGAGGCTACTTTTAGTCTTTTATTGGTGACTGACAATTTGATCTAAATTGAAATTTGCACTGTAGTTGACATCAGCAGCAAGTTTAATCCAACTCTGAAGTTCAAGTTAATGGTGATAAAGACTGAAGTTATGTTTTTCTAGCAGTTTGTACAAGACGCATCTTGGGTTAACAAGTCGTATTCTCAACTGTAGGTCAGAAGATTGTGGTTCAAGTTTCGAGTTGGAGGCTTTGAGCACATGGGCTAGGCTGACTTTCCAGTGCAGTATTTGGGGATCTTTGTGGAGCTGGAGGTACCATCCTTTGGATGAGACATTAAACTGATTCCTGTCTGTCTGTCCAAGCCACTATTCAAAAAGAAAAGTAACTTCTGGTATCCTGGCCAACAATCCTCCAACTAGTCGGTCACTTGTGAGATATTGCTATGTGTATTGCTATGCATAGTCACTACACTTCACAGAAAACTGTGAATTGCTTTTGAGGTCCAAATCCCTGACTGTCCAGGGCCTTGGGATGTCCTCCCAATGTGAAAGGCTTTGTACAAAAGCAATTTTTGTATTTTTTGTGTTGTATCAAATACAAGGATTGTTATTACAAACTTTCTATTTGGATTCTGATGAGGTTAAACCTTTTGCAAGGAAACCTGTAACGTGCAACAAATTTTCCAACTTGTAACACTTAGTTGAAGAACAGAAATAATTCTGGATCTCTGGACGCACTTGTAAAACCATTTCAATTTGTTTTGTATCATTTCATTACAAATCTAACAGTAAAATGTTTTCGGGAATAATTCTGGCGCTTAAAGTTCAGAACACGTGTGGATTTTGAATTGATTAGCTTTACATCAAAACATGGTCATTATTCAATCAGATCTTTTTTAATATAATTCTGATGCAGTGGAAAAGAGTAATTTCCTAATCCAGTTGTACCATATAAATAGGTCCATTGTTTAATACTAAAGAGTGGGATTGTAGAAAGGACTGAGCTTGCACACTTGTTGTTTCCTCTTCCTGTTCTGGTTCCTGTACGTTTCCTATTTTGGTTCTGTGATCCGGGATAGGAATCCAATCCTCTGAATAGAAGTGAAAGACATTTTGTGGGATTGGTTTAGTATTACCACATTAGTGAGAATTAGCTGTTGATAACTATAAAACCACAGGGACACAACAAAGCATAAAAATAGAGAGATGTCCTTGTTAAAAAGGGAATGTGCTTACAACTTAACAGCAATGATTATAGTGTTCGAATTCCAGCCCAGAGCCACTAAATCAAAAGCATATCAACTGTGTCAACTCCACTGATATACACCTACATTTGCAGTCCTGGCACAGGCGTAGTATTGTGGAGAGATGCTGATTGAAGAAGAATAAAGGATATGAAGATCGATAGGATATGATTCATATCCTAAACAGGATCACTATGTGTGGTGAAATTGTGTGTAAGTTTCGACCAGCACTATTGGTGAAATATAAATTACCCCTCAATGGACTTTGCATTCAGATTGTTTTATTTATGTGGATATTCATTCTAATAATTCAATTAAATGTGTTCAATAGTTCCTTGTACTCTATTGTGCAATGCAGATTGATTCCAGGATCATCACTGATCAATTGTCTAGAAAAAGTAGGAGAATTAGCCTATTCTGATTTTGCGAATCTTTATAAAACAAATAGCTGTTCAGATATTGTAAAAAAAACTCTAAAGGTGAAATATTTATGCTGTGATAAGAACGTACATAGGTGTTTTCACTTTAAAGATCGCATGGCACTATTTGAAAGATGATTGAGTTTCTCCCAGCGTCCTGGCCAATAATACTCTCGCTCAATTAGTGGTTGTTTATGGGATACTGTGGAGCACAAATGACCTGCTACAATGAAAATACTGTGAAGTACTTTGAGATGTTTTGAACACATGATAAGGTGCTATGTCAAATACAAGGACTATGATTTACATGATATTTATTTCAACAGGAATTTTGACAGATTACTTATATCTGATAAGAGCAAATTCCATTTCTAGGTCTGCATTTCCCCTTCAGGGCTCATACTTTTCAAATGTGTGCCAGAATCCAGTCCGTAAATTAAGTCGGTTTACTGTTTAAAGGGGTGGCTGAGAAGCAAAATGAATAACATATGATTTGGCAAAATAGATTGCTGACGAAGCAGCAGCAGAGTGCAGCGACGTTCAGAACGAGGCCGGAACAAATACAAACAGATGAAAATCAAGGTAGAACTTGTGCTCAACGTTCTGTGCTGTGGAATGCGTCTCGGCAGTGCACATCAAAAGTTTGGTTTCACGTGCAAATTTTTTATATTTAGCTGTGCTGCGCTTAATTGCTACACAAATTAGGTCGCAGCTGTTTGTCAGCTTTGATGTGCTAATTGCTCAGTTATATCATTGTAAATTCCTTTATTGTCATGATGATTGATATGCAGTTACATTCCAGTCGTGCAAAGAAGCCACAATGCAAATTAATTCGATGCTGTTTGATATTTGCAGAGGTCTTTTTGAATTGCTGTGCTTTTTCTCATGTGCAGCTGTGAATCAGCCATTGAACCAAGCTGTTCTCTCAACAAGCCCCATAATTTTGCAGGCATGTCTCTAATGGTGCATGAAGGTTTTACAAAAAGGTGCCGTATGCTTAATTAAGTTTGTTATGGACAGGAAATAAATCAAACCCAGTGATGCTCAACAAAATAGATTAACCCTTCGAAAATGGTGTGCCTTACATCCAAATCAGATCTCCATAAAGATTTCACCATTGATGTTAAATTTGATTTGAAAGATACTTTGAATCAGCAGTCTTCTGTAGGGCTTTGCTTTCCCTGCACCTAGTTCCTTTTTATGCGTACTGCACTTGTCAAATACTTCCAGGTAGATATACTAATGGGATAGAATTTTGCTCCGAATTAATTTTGTTAATAAGAGCCTTCTGGAATCTTTTCACTGCTGTATAATTGCAAACTTTGCCTGCAGTATGAAACCAATTCATGTGCTCCACTCTACTGCTGGGAAATCCATGCAGCACACATCTTTGTAGTGCACGACCCTACTGCCTCATTCACCACTTCAGGAAAACAACTGCTGCTCAAATGTTCCCTCTCATTTCCTCTCCTCTTCCCCCACCCACTTGCCTGCTGTCCCCACAGATGTTACCGTGGCCTTTGAATGGTGCTTCTGTCATCGTCTTTGTCCTGGTCTTTTTACGATGCTCCTATCATAGAGTTGCATTAAACAGGGGAATAAGGTCACAAGTTTGTCCTCATGACCGATGTCTGAGTACCTGCAAGACAAGCCACCATTACTATAGTCAAATGCTGCAAAATAATAAAGCATTATAATTATGATATATGTTTATAAGAAGGTCAGAATTAATCTTCCAATTTAAACATTTCCAATTGATGCTGAGGTGTTCTGTAGTGAATGTCAATAACCCTATACTGTTATATAAATTTTCGCCCACAAAATTTACATTCAATTCACTTTACAGTGCATTCTGTGAGGCGCTTTGAGAAGTCTTATTATTAGTAGTAGTTGTATTAAGACTGGACCAAAGGTGCTCACAAATGTTCAACACTTGCTGTTCACAAGCTTCTGGAGAATCTCCAAATCATGGGCTAAAAGTTGAAACACAACCAAACTCCTAGTTCATCTACACGACGACAACAACAACAACAATAATGATTGTTTTCACATCCCAATTCATTGTGAATTGTAAGAATTGAGCCTGTTACAACCTTTATCCTTGCAGTTCACTGTTTTCTTGTTGAGAAAACAGAACTCTTATAAAGCATGAGAGGAAGGGAAAATCTGCTGTTTGGATCAGTTCAAATCCCTTGTTACTCTTATTTTAAATCTTAATGCTTTATACTGTCCTCTTTAGTTGGAAAAGTCAAGCCCATTGGCACTTCCATGGATACCATCAGTATGAGTTTTAAACATGATGTGAGTTATAAACATCAGTCTAGTTCCGTAACACTTTAAGTAATGGGCTACCTTGGCACTATGAATACCTGGTCAAATATAAGCGCACAAGACTTGTAAGAATTTCTTAGAGATTAACTTTCAAGTCAAACTTAAGATCACAATCAAAATGAGTTCTGTGTTCGGGTTTTATTTACGTTCAATTTATTTTTTTGTTGCTGTAAACAAAACAATTGCAAAGGGGATATTGGAAAGTTCAGGAGGGATATAGAAAAGCCGAAACGTTGAAGCCAGTCTGATTCCATGCCACATTAAGCAAGCGGTGGTATCTGATTCAAGTCAAATCAAATTTAAATGTATCACTGGTTTATCAGAAAGACCTCAGAAGGAATCTTCCTTCTTATCATATGGACAACAAAGTGCTGTATTAATGAGTACGTATAGTCTCCAATGAGTCACTAAACTGTATCAGCCAAAAATACTTAATATAGCTACTGACCAGCCATTCCCCCAAATATAATTAACTCGGTAGATTGAAATGTGGGTGGGAGAGCACAAATGTCGAAATGCAATGACAATAACAACCTGAATTCATTTTATATTCAAGCAGTCGAGATGAATCACAGTATTTCAGCACAATGCAGTTTGTCATTTACAATGATGTTCCGATGTATAATTGCTGGTAAATAACCTCAGCGGTTTTGATACGGAATTTGTCACAAATCATGCAGTTTTTTTTTGCATCAAATTTCCAACCATCACCACAGAAAATGCATTCAGCATCGTTTTATCGTTTTATGTTACCTGGCACTCATAAGGCATTAGCAATTTACTTCAGTACACGCTTCCAGCTAACTGCATGGTCAGAAGAGGGCATGAATGCTAAAATATTAAGAATCATGAAGCTCATTTCATTTGCAATATAAGAGTACGACAATGACACCACTGCCTCAGGTTTCCTGCTTCATGCTTCTTGCTTTCCACCTGCTCCACCCCGACATTGGTGAGCGAGCTTTCAGCCACTGTGTCCCTACTCTATCAACAACTTGCATTTATATAGCGCCCTTCACACTGGATGGTGTCTCGGAGCACTTAAATAATCCAACTGCTGAATTCTTCCATTTTAGAGACTGACAGATATTTGTCCTTGCAAATATCTGTCATTTTGTGTCATTTACAAATGTACAAATTCAGCATTTATTCTATTTATTTAAGTTATTTATTTATACTGTGAGAAGCAGAGGTGAGTGTTGTTACTCTGCGTTAAAAAAAAATTCAGGCTCTGTGATGGAACTGAGTGTAATAGAAGCAGGGATGGTTGGCTGAACTTCTGTTCTGCAGGGCTTCCCATTAGCCACATGTTATTTTGATTCCTGAAGTATATCCAAGTGGCTTTTAGTGCTCAGTTTTCTGAAGTAGAGTGCATTATTCTTTTTGTTGTAGCTCAGAGCTGGAGTCATCCTAAAGTGGATTTCTCTTCTGATCCCTCCACTGTTAGTAGCTGAGCACCAGAACATGCAACATTATCATACGTGTGAAGGAGCACAGGATCTGTTCATGCCCGAAGTAAAACACCAGGATCATTCAATGTGAAACATATGAATGAAGTCCTTTGGATGAGACTTTAAACCAAGGTAATGTCTATCTGTTCAGCTGGACATTTAAGATCCTATTGCAATATTTGAAAAGAAAAGAGAATTTCTCCCGGTGTCCTGGCCAACAATCCCCCAAAATATAACTAGTTATTACTTCATGGCTGTTTGTGAAACATTAATATGTTTAAATTGGCTGCTCTGCTCACCTACAAAATACATTGTGTTTTACAGTATAAAAGTGAAGCATTTTAAGATGTCCTTCTGACATGAAAGGTGATAAATGTACGGATTATTTACTTATTACTGTATGAGTGATGTTGGTGGTGGCAATGTTATGTAAAAGTAGCATTAACTGTGCGTGCGTTGAGCTCTCTTCAGCCTTGGGTAAGATCAATTGGGAATAAGTTAACAGAGTAGATGTATCCTGATCCCTGCTTCACTGTTCATCTGAAAAAAGGCCCGAAATTCAATCTAGTCTGTAAGATCATTTTATATTAAAAATTGGGATTGCCATAATCAATGCAAATTCTTAAATTCAGCCTTAAGTTGGAAGCTGTTTTTTTTGTTGCAGTTCTTAAAGGTGGTTTCAATTTGAAAATGTGTTCATTTTCAAAGTTAGAGCTACTTTACGGGTTAATAGCCTCACTTGGCAAATTTGCAAACAGAGTAGGGATGGCAGTAGGAGGTAAAGCATCTGACTAGAGTAAAGTGATAATTAGACAACAGGCTTTGCTTGGCTGTCAGTAGGAACCTGGGGTGCAAAAGGCAAGGCTGGGATGCTCTCCTTCTCCTCTATTTTGGAAAGGGGAAATGAATGATTGGAGAGAACAGAGAAGGGAAAAAAGGAGAGGGAACAGAAACATTTAATTGGAGATGTAATCATTCTGAAAGGTTTTGGGAGGATAAATAGTGAATGATTACTTCTCTGTCAAAGGTTTGTTAAAATATGGAAGGCTTTGCAACAAATGTTGAAGCTCATAATGTTTTTTTTAAATGAGATGAGTATTTAAGGAAGAACAAAAATAGTGCGGAAAGAACAAGGAATTAGGATTGAAGTGGACAGCTGCAATAGAGGACCTAACCGGCATAGACTCAATTAGCAGAAATGTTTCCTGCTTTGCTGGCAATATTTGACTATAATTCCTATAGAATTGGGTTTGGCAATTGTGTCATCTTCGTGTAGAGTCTAAAGTCCTGAGCGAATACTATACAAGAGTACCCAAAGAAACTCTGCCTTTAAGGTCTTGGACAGTTTTGATAGTTGGCCTTTCAAGTCATAGAAATAAATAAATCACTGAGCCCAAGTGATTCTATATCTATGTAAAAAGGTAATCCAATTTTGGGCAGTACTTAATGTATTGTCTTCAGTTACTAAAGGAATGTTTCAAAAGTTTTTCAATCTTCATACCTTCCAGCAGCTTCCTTTTACTCAATTCTGTAACATATCAGGACCCAAGGGGTTGACTGAAGCAACTTACACAGAAACTGTGCATAGTACGTCCAAACTGCACAGTCTTACCCTTTGAGTTTATTTTCTTTGAGACTATCTGCTATTTCTCAATTAAGTCGATACTGCAACATGTACGGGCTAAGATCAAGGCAAATTAAATCTGTTACTGACTCAAAGATTGCCGCTGCCAAGGGGAAAATATCTACTCGTCCTAGAAAAACTTTCAATTGAGCCGGATATTTGAAGACTGCACACAG